ATAGAAACACCTATTGAAATAGATCCATTTTGATGTATACGAAGTTTTATTAAAAACGGTTCATATTTAGATTAGCGATTTTTTCATTTTGTACTACCCCGACTTTTGAACTTTCCTTGCTGGTTCGGAGACTCTATAAAGTCCCGAAGAATTACCTTAAAATCAACGCTCATTAACACAGTGGTCCTCAAAAAATGTGTGTTTAAAACCTACGCCTATAGGCCCATAGGTTCTCTAAAAAATATTCTTCAAAATTCCATGTTTTTTGGCCCAGTGGTGCTTGAAGAGATTGGCTTTGTTGTCCTTGAAAAATATCTACTTTAAAAATTTAAGTTTCTTGGACCAGTGGTGCTATAGTGGGCCTACATAAGGTCACCTTTATATCTACCTATTTTTAGGAACAATCGAAGATTTGTGTTTCATATTTTTAATTGAAAACCGGGACTATCTTCAAACGTACTCGTACCGTGAGATATCAAATTTCTACAACACACTTTTCAAAAACGACCTGCTCGTGACAAAAAAAAAATCCAAACATTGAAAGTGTTTGTCACAAAAACGAAAACCCCCAAACAAAAAAAAAAAATCATAACATAATTTGTCCAATTCCAATGCCGCTGATGAATATTCAAACATGCAAATCAATGTTTATGTTTAAAATATTCAAAAAATGTATAATTTAATGAAATATTAATGTTTTTTCGGTTGACATTAACGTCTACTTAACGAACAACCTGTTTCTGTTTCTTCGTGCTCTATTATGCTGTTGACTTCGCTCGTGATCTGCTTTAGTTCAGGCGATACTAGTTCAATCGTTGACTTTCCGTTTACCAAGAATTTCAAAGTCGTTGAACCTTTTGCTGTGTGGCGGCGATGATGTGTGTAACTAATAACTAGACAGCTCGTCGGACAGTTTGTCAGACAAACGGTGATCGGGTTAGAGGAATGTAGTAAGGTAGCCGCAGATTAGGTTTTAAACAATGGACCACAACACAAGCCACCATCAGCACCAGACCACACCACACCACCACCATCACCAGCATTATCATCAACGTCATCAAACTCATCACCTTTTCAAATCAGCAATGATATGCTAATTAAATTATTAAGATCTTTTTGTAAATTAACAATGGATAGCTGGTGGTGGAGGGGAGTGAAAGAGGAACTAGCCTAAACTGAAATCCATGATCATAGTGTTATGGTGGTTGTGGTTTTTTTCTTGGTATTATTATGAAAGAATTTCGAATATATGATTTGAAAGTGCACTCAAAGAAATGTTGTAGTTGGAATGGAATATTTTCAAAGGGGAAGGATTGTAGAGAGATATGGATATATAATACACGATTTTTGATCTGGTGGTCCTTTAAAAAATAGTTTCTAAAAATCCACGCATATAGGTCAGATAGTCTCTGAAAAAAATCTACTTTACAAATGAACGCTTATAGGTCAAATAGTCTCTGAAAAAATCTACTTTAAAAATCCACGCTTATAGGTCAGATAGTCTCTGAAAAAAGTCTATTTTACAAATGAACGCTTATAGGTCAGATAGTCTCTGAAAAAAATCTACTTTAAAAATCCACGCTTATAGGTCAGATAGTCTCTGAAAAAAGTGTACTTTAAAAATCCACGCTTATTGGTCAGATGATCTCTGAAAAATCTACTTATAAAAATTCACGCTTATTGGTCAGATTTCTCTGAAAAACTCTACTTTAAAAATCCACGCTTATAGGCCAGATAGTCTGTGAAAAAATATTCTTTAAAAATATGCACTTATAGGTCAGATGGTCTCTGAAAAAATTTACTTTAAAAATTCACGCTTATAGGTCAGATGGTCTCTGAAAAAATCTACTTTAAAAATTCACGCTTATTGGTCAGATGATCCCTGAAAAATCTACTTATAAAAATCCACGTTTATAGGTCAGATGGTATCTGAAAAAATCTGCTTTAAAAATGCACGCTTAAAGGTCAGATGGTGCCTGAAAAAATCTACTTTAAAAACCCACGCTTAAATATCAGATGGTCTCTGAAAAAATCTATGCTTATAGGTCAGATGGTTCTGAAAATCGACTTTAAAAATCTACGCTTATAGGTTAGATGGTATCTGAAAAAATCTACTTTACAAATCCACGCTTATTGGTCAACGGTCCTCAAAAAAAAATCTACTTTAAAAATCCACGCTTATTGGTCTAAGGGTCCTAACAAAATCTACTTTAAAAATCCACGCTTATTGGTCTAAGGGTCCTAACAAAATCTACTTTAAAAATCCACGCTTATTGGTCAACGGTCCTCAAAAAAAAATCTACTTTAAAAATCCACGCTTATTGGTCTAAGGGTCCTAACAAAATCTACTTTAAAAATCCACGCTTATTGGTCTAAGGGTCCTAACAAAATCTACTTTAAAAATCCACGCTTATTGGTCTAAGGGTCCTAACAAAATCTACTTTAAAAATCCACGCTTATTGGTCTAAGGGTCCTAACAAAATCTACTTTAAAAATCCACGCTTATTGGTCTAAGGGTCCTAACAAAATCTACTTTAAAAATCCACGCTTATTGGTCTAAGGGTCCTAACAAAATCTACTTTAAAAATCCACGCTTATTGGTCTAAGGGTCCTAACAAAATCTACTTTAAAAATCCACGCTTATTGGTCTAAGGATCCTAACAAAATCTACTTTAAAAATCCACGCTTATTGGTCTAAGGGTCCTAACAAAATCTACTTTAAAAATCCACGCTTATTGGTCTAAGGGTCCTAACAAAATCTACTTTAAAAATCCACGCTTATTGGTCTAAGGGTCCTAACAAAATCAACTTTAAAAATCCACGCTTATTGGTCTAAGGGTCCTAACAAAATCTACTTTAAAAATCCACGCTTATTGGTCTATGGTTCCTAACAAAATCTACTTTAAAAATCCACGCTTATTGGTGTAAGGGTCTTAACAAAATCTACTTTAAAAATCCACGCTTATTGGTCTAAGGGTCCTAACAAAATCTACTTTAAAAATCCACGCTTATTTGTCTAAGGGTCCTAACAAAATCTACTTTAAAAATCCACGCTTATTGGTCTAAGGGTCCTAACAAAATCTACTTTAAAAATCCACGCTTATTGGTCTATGGTTCCTAACAAAATCTACTTTAAAAATCCACGCTTATTGGTGTAAGGGTCTTAACAAAATCTACTTTAAAAATCCACGCTTATTGGTCTAAGGGTCCTAACAAAATCTACTTTAAAAATCCACGCTTATTGGTCTAAGGGTCCTAACAAAATCTACTTTAAAAATCCACGCTTATTGGTCTAAGGATCCTAACAAAATCTACTTTAAAAATCCACGCTTATTGGTCTAAGGGTCCTAACAAAATCTACTTTAAAAATCCACTAACTTATTAAAAATCCACGCTTATTGGTGTAAGGGTCTTAACAAAATCTACTTTAAAAATCCACGCTTATTGGTCTAAGGGTCCTAACAAAATCTACTTTAAAAATCCACGCTTATTGGTCTAAGGGTCCTAACAAAATCTACTTTAAAAATCCACGCTTATTGGTCTAAGGATCCTAACAAAATCTACTTTAAAAATCCACGCTTATTGGTCTAAGGGTCCTAACAAAATCTACTTTAAAAATCCACGCTTATTGGTCTAAGGGTCCTAACAAAATCTACTTTAAAAATCCACGCTTATTGGTCTAAGGGTCCTAACAAAATCTACTTTAAAAATCCACGCTTATTGGTCTAAGGGTCCTAACAAAATCTACTTTAAAAATCCACGCTTATTGGTCTATGGTTCCTAACAAAATCTACTTTAAAAATCCACGCTTATTGGTGTAAGGGTCTTAACAAAATCTACTTTAAAAATCCACGCTTATTGGTCTAAGGGTCCTAACAAAATGTACTTTAAAAATCCACGCTTATTGGTCTAAGGGTCCTAACAAAATCTACTTTAAAAATCCACGCTTATTGGGCTAAGGGTCCTAACAAAATCTACTTTAAAAATCCACGCTTATTGGGCTAAGGGTCCTAACAAAATCTACTTTAAAAATCCACGCTTATTTGTCTAAAGGCCCACAAAAAATCTACTTCAAAAATCCACGCTTATTGGTCAGGTGGTCTCTAAAATATCTACTTTAAAAATCCAAGCATATAGGCCAGATGATCTCTGAAAAAATCTACTTTAAAAATCCACGCTTACAGGCCAAATGGTCTGTGAAAAAATCTACTTTAAAAGCCACGCGTCTCTGATAAAATCTACTTTAAAAATCCACGCTTATAGGCCAGACGGTCTCAGAAAAAATCTACTTTTAAAATCCACGCTTATATGTCAGAAAAAAATTACTTCTAATTGTCCTTGAAAATCTAATTTAAAAATCTAGGCTTATTGGTCTTATGGTCATCCAAAAAATCTACTTTATAAATCTACGCCTCTTGATCAGATAGTGCCTGAAAATCTATTCTTGTTGGTCAGCTGCTCTTTAAAAAAATATTCTATAAAAATCCGCCATTATTAAAGGTCTAAAGGTTCTTAAAAAAATTATCTTAAATAGCCTCTAAAAATCTACTTTTAAAATCGCTTATATTCAAAAAAGACCTTGAAAAATCGACGTTAAAAATGTATGCCTATAGGTCAGAATATCCTTGAAAAATTATCCGTCAAAAATCCATCCTTAATCTTGAAAATATTCTTTTGAAATACACTCTTATGAATTTGGGATTCTTTAAAATTATTCCTCATAGGATTATTGGTCCGTTGGTTTTTCAGAAATTACCAAATCTTATTACTCCAATGGTTCCTGATTATAATACTTTAAGTTTAAATATATAATATTTTTCTCCATGTAATCGACTATTATCACATGAATGTTGTTTACTCTATATTTACACACGGGTTACACACAACGCCATCATCAATCAATTAACACTGTCTGGTCATATTGTAATGTAGCAGCAACAACACACTCATACTTACATATTTGTGTTACATTTTTAACTCGTTTCTATTTTCATTTCCAGGTTTATGCTAATTTGGACATTGCTACGGCCAAAGCTACCAAAGAAGAACAATCCCGTGCTAAACATCATCTATTGGATGTAGCTTCGCCCGCCGAGCCATTTACTGTGGTGCACTTCCGCAACAAGGCATTGCCAATTGTATCCTTTTCAAAAAATGAAAAACAAACAAAAAAGGTACCAAGGTACCAGTCAACACACTGAGTGAGTTTTCGATCTTTTCAGCGTATTTCAAGTCATATTATTCTATCGATTGTTTGTATTGATATATGAAAAAATGTGTAAGTCAGTTTTTGTTTCCTCTTTCGAGTCGAGCTTAATGATCGAACATTTTTGCAATGAAAAGGAAAGCTAGGGAAGAACCTACACACCCACCATTATGCGAAACATTTCGTATTTATGTCGCAGCTGATGGGAAATTTCATCTGCGAATTAAATTAAATGTTCGTATTTTGTCTTAACTATAGAAATATTCCTTTTTAAATCAGATTTTCGTTGTCTCATGGTTAAGGGAACCTAGACGCGAATCCTAACCGTTATCAAGTATTTAGCGTTCTGAACCATTAAAACACTTCAAAAACATGATTTGTAAAGGAAACTATTTTCCTTATTCGTGGTTTACATTAGGCAATTTTAATTGCCCCAATTCCATAGTTTGTGTGAGAGAGAGAGAGCTGAGGTGAGAGCGCTGAGGGTAATGGTAACCCTTCAATTCTGTTGTCTACAAACTGACAATTGCCACAATTAAAATTACCTAACTTAATTTTTGTGTTGCACATTTATTATGAGCAAATTGATAAGTATTCATCTCTGTTGTTTTTATACCCTTCACCACACTGTGGTACAGGGTATTATGTCTTTGTGCAGATGTTTGTAACAGGCAAAAATAATCGAGATAGTCCCATGGTTCTTTTTGAGAATATGCATCGATTTATGCATTTCCGTCCGTTCGTTAATCTGTTCTTGTTAAATTGTAAACAAAGTACATATATATTTTTTTAAAATGAATTTGTTCAAGGGTCGATTTTTTCATTTTCTGTATCAGTTTTTTTCAAGGACAAAAAATTTGCGGATTTTTAAGGAGTTATGTTTTCAGATATGATTTTTTTCAGTTTTGATTTTTTATTTTCAACGTATTAAATCGTCGTAGATTTGTATAGCCTTCATTCCGCTTGCAACGCCATGAAATATTCAAAGGGCCAATAATTTACATACATTCTGATCGAAATAAAATGCTATGCCGATGCAGCCATGTACGACTATCTGTTAAAATCACGATAACCCTCGCTATATTTACGCTTGAGGTCTGCATTTTGCTACAATTATTATTATAGCCCTCAAATAACAGTATCTTCTCATTTTTCGGAATTTTCCGTAGTTTGGAGACGTTTATAAGATAGACTCTTTGGATAGACAATTTCCCAACCAGAAACCAGTGAACGTAGCGGTGTTGTTCATATTGCCTTCCCCACTGCAAATTTGTGATGTTCGGCTAATGTTTTCTGCCCATCTGATCAATATCGAAATATCATCTGCTCATCATCGGAAGTTATAAGCGTCGTCCTTGACCTTAACCAGAGCATAACACAAAATTACGCCATCTAGTGTGGTACTGATAATACTAAACAATATTTGAATACGTAAACCCATGTAAATATATACGCAGAACTCCCACATTCTATAAATTCTCCGGTCTATGTCCTTCAGAAGTAAATATATACGCCACGAAATGCAAAATTTGCATTTTTCACACAAAAGTCTGGGCCCGTTTGATCCCCTAATTATACCCTTCGCCACACTGTGGTACAGGGTATTATGTCTTTGTGCATATGTTTGTAACTGGCAAAAGGGAACGAGATAGACACATGGTTCCTTTTGAGAATATGCATAGAATCACTTTCTAAGTCGATTTATGCATGTCCGTCTGTCTGTCCATGTTAAATTGTATACAAAGTACAGGTCGCATTTATGATCCGAATTGGATGGAATTTGGCATAGGTCACTTATTCGGCCAAGGACGAACCCTATTGAAATTGGGAAAAATCGGTCCAAATTTAGATATAGCTCCCATATATATATTTAACCGATTTAATGTAAAATGTCCCTATATATCTTTCGATTTGCACGAAATTTGGTACAGCCTAATCATTTGGGTCTAGAATGATGTCTGCCAAGTTTCGTGAAAATCGCTCCAGATTTAGATATAGCTCCCATATATAGTTTCGTCCGATTTCATGTAAATGGTGCACCAAAGTCCCTATATATCCTTCGATTTGCACGAAATTTGGTATAACGTACTGAATTGAGCCTAGAGTGATGTCTGGCAAGTTTTGAGAAAATCGGTTCAGATTTTGATATACCTCCCATATATAGTTTCGTCCGATTACATGTAAATGGTGCCCCAAAGTCCCTATATATCTTTCGATTTGCACGAAATTTGGCATAACGTACTGTATTGAGTCTAGACTGATGTCTGTCAAGTTTCGAGAAAATCGATTCAGATTTTGATATGCCTCCCATATATAGTTTCGTCCGATTTCATGTAAATGGTACACCAAAGTCGCTATATATCTTTCGATTTGTACGAAATTTGTCATAACGTACTGAATTGAGCCTAGAGTGATGTCTGCCTTGTGTCGTGAAAATCGGTCAAGATTTAGATATAGCTCCCATATATATTTTTGTCCGATTTAATGTAAATGGTGCACCAAAGTCCACATATATCTTTCGATATGCACGAAATTTGGCATAGCGTACTGAATTTAGTCCAGAATGATGTGTGACAAGTTTCGTGAAAATCGGCTGAGATTTCGATACAGCTCCCTTATATTATAGATTGATTTTAAGGAAATGACACACCAAGGAATCCATAGGATAGGAACAAAACGTACTGAAATTAGTATAACCTAACCTGTGACAAGTTTCGTTGGAATCGGTTCATATTTGGATATAGCTTCCATATATATTTTCGTCCGATTTGAAGTAAATGGTGCATCCAACTCCTCCTGTTTGTCAGATTGTCTGAAATGTTGCTGAATGTACAAAATTGAGCATAGAATTACGTAGATTTAGGTAGATTCACATTTAGATATATATCACATATTTTATTTCATCCAATTTCATGTTAATGGTCCTGTTTAATATACCTATAGTGGTGAAGGGTATCATATAGTCGACCCCGTCCCACTTTACTACTTTCCTTACAGGTTTTTGGTTATTATTGGTCCATTTTATCCCCAAAATATTAACCTATCATCAGCAAAAACAATAGCGATCTTCTTTGGCCAGAACCTAGACCCTTGGTATAAGATCGGCATACCAAAGGGTCTAAAACCAATATTTCACGAAACTACAAATTCCACACAAAGCTCTAATATCCTTAAAACATAGTTTTATAGGGCATAATTATCAATAATTGCCCATCGTTCGGGGAAACTCTCATTGAGGATTTTGGATCTAATTTGATAGTCTGGGTTTTCATTGGGTAATTTTATATTTATACCTTCACCTCACTGGATGAAATTTGGCACAGCTCATATATTTGGCCAATATATATTGGTTGGGGAAAACGAAATCCAGTATTTTTATATGAACTATAGGACTTTATTTAACATGCTTCGGAATGTCCGATTTGGGGCAAATATGCACCGTTTTGATGCCCATTTCAAAGGTGACTTCATAATGCCACTCTCATAGCAGTCCTGCTCTCTATTTCCAAAAAACTCTAGTAGTCGATTTTCACAATCCTCTCTAGATACTAATTTTTTATCATTAAAGAAATTTTGCAATGCAAAAAAGACGGTAATGGCTTGGATGCCAAGTCCGGATTGTATGGCGGATGCATTAAAACTTCCCTACAAGCTCCCGACGTTTCTGGCGAGTCACTGTGGATGTGTGTTAGCCAATTGGATCAGAGATCAGAATTTAGCGTTTGGCCATATAGAAGCAAGTTGTAATAAATATATTGTAATATATATATAACATGCCGGTCATTTGATCATTTCTCATTTTTCGACATTTTCGACGACTTTCTCGCACACTTTTTTACAACAGAAGTGACTGTAACATGTCATTTCGGGTTCAAAAAATGCCCCCATACAAATAATGTTAAACCTAGTTTCATCTTCTGACATAATTCCTATATAAAGGTTCCCCCACATTAAAAGTCTTTCATAGATGAATTTTCGAATTGAGTGTCTGAAGGTTGGTATTTAAGGTATTTTACTACATAAGTAAAATTTAGTGGATAATATTAAAAATTCTGCCCGTCGAAACTTAACGTCATTTCTACTTGGTTTAATTAATTGTGGCATAAATATAATTTCCGAATTACTAACAGCTTTCTAAAAGTATTGACAATGTCATACTTCAAAAAAAAAAAAAATACCCCACAACGCTAAACAAACATTATGGTGACAAATACCAGCAGAAATCCTAAACCACTGACTGACTGACCAATACCGCAATCATTTAAATATTTATGAGTTTTCTTCCTCTACATCTTATGATGCAGCAATTTTGTTGTTGTTGCTGTTGTTGTTGTTGTTATTATTATTTATGCATAATTTAAGCCAATACCATTACATATTAACTAAGTGGCCAAACCAAACAATTCTCCCACCACAGAAACTCTCGTGACCGGGACAATACCCCTCACCACCATCATCTGAAATAAATTCATTAGCTAGTCAATGTCAAACAGAGATGAAGATGAAAACGAAAAAAAAAACATATCTTACAATTGACATGTGGCGCCACAAAGACCCCCTCCCCACCTAAGATGTTTCAAATCTCTAATATTATTTTACATATTTCCTTTGTATGCGAGAGTGTGTGTATGGTTTCCAATTTGCTGTCATTGAGTGCGAAGAAGTCTTCAAGTATGTACTTTTACTGGTCTTGTTCCAGACCATAGAAATTGGAAAGTGCTGTTCACACTCAGATCTGAATGAGCTGACTGGCGTTTTGAATAATTTTCAATTTCAATATTGACATACTCTTCATTTACTATTGTTATTATTATAATTTGTTTGTTCTCCCTCACCCTGTTTTGGAATATGAAAATTTCCATTGCTAAAAGTTTTCAAAGGCGGAAAAGAAGACACATTCGAACAGACATACCACCACTATCCTCCAACACA